TTCACATTTTGTATTGGCTGTATGGCCGAAGGTACTGCAAATAAATACAACAAACTGCTGGTAAACATAAAAATGAGTTCGTTAAAAACGTGTTTACTTTGAAGTAATCCTCAGCCAATGAAACGCTGTTGAGGATGTTTACGCTACCCCTACACCACACCCAATTCACTATTTATAGCCATGAAAGTATTAAGTTCCAAATCATTAACTTATACCCATATGAGTTATTCGTGATTATAATCCATCAAATATTTTCACTCGCGCGTGATTGCCCTAAACGCATCACGTGACTGAATTTTCCCCCAAGTAAAACTATGGTATGTCCGAGAATATTCTTTAACTTTCAAAACTGCGCGTGTTGCGAAGAAGATTTGAAGGATAATAAACACAATAAAATCCTTTTGGCGCGAAAATGTGCTCGGATATTTCTCCTTGGACATAACCTGTTCCTCGAACCTCACAGTTTTCGCTTCTCGGGTCAGATATATATCCCAGCATATTTCTGCGCCAGATGGAAGCTATCGATTATTTAGTAAATGTACAATTCGTATAAATACATGATGTGCAATATGTAATGTAATTTGAGTTTAACCCTATTAATTTTCTCTTGAACTGAATTTTACCGTCAGATCATTGATCTGCCTGTTAGAGGGCTTGAGACTAACGTTTTAACACAATGGCCTAGTGGCTACTAAATAGTCAGATTTTACTACACCCAAAACAGACAGCAACTTCAAGGACATCACTCTTTTCCGATTTTTCCACTGAAGCAAATAATAAGCGTCACTGTTGATATACTTCCAAGCCGAATTATGCAGTTTTCTTTGTGTTACAAGTGACAGCTGCTTAATACATTGCTAAATTTCTTCCTACTTCATGGTAGGAAACCAAATGAAGAAACCAAATGTTCTGTTTACTACTTCCATAAGCTGAATTTGAGTAGCCAAATGAATCAGAATGCGTGAAAACCACCATCCACTGGTTTAATTGGTAATCCTATATATACTAATAAATGACAACTATACCATCGAAATGCCGTATGAATAGCTTCTTTAGACTAGCCAAAAAGGCATGTACAGACAAAAGACCCTTGTTAGCCAAATACGATTTTTACTACATGTAGTCAGCACAACATGTAGCTTATCTTGCTCACCGTTAACAGTAACAGCAACACTTTCACTTTGTCCTGTTCCTGCAATGTTATTAGCCACACACTTGTAGATGAACACTCCACCAGTTGACATTGTTCTGTTCCACATTCCATGAATGTTACTACCATCAGTTACCAGTGTATCATTCTCAAACAGTTGATAAGTATGTACTGTAGGGTTACCATCAGCAGAGCAGGTAAAGTTGATCACTTCAGCCAGACAGACTTCGGTCTCACTTGCCGCAAATTGGAAATTCTCTGGTTTGTCTACAACAATAAAGATATAAAACATCGAGAATAAAACCAGTGTATAGTAAGTTTACTTTGTAACCCTAAACAATGCAAAACATGCGGTGAATAGGTTCTCTGCCTGTGTTTGAGGTTATTTCATTTTCCGAAACATTTAGCGGAATGATGTCTTTATTCACTTAGCAGGACAGACTCAACTCACTTCCTGAACAGTTAAGAAAATTTAAGGTGGCTCTGAACCATGTGTACAGAATTCTTTTAAACTTTGTCAAAAGTTGCGTCTTATCATACTTATCAACAGCTGATAATGTATAAAAATTTCACCGTGCCGTTTTTGAATTATAAGCCCCTAAAGCTGTAGCTGCAAGGTTGTTTTTAGTAGTTCACACTATTACTCTGGTAACCTATTGTGTCACGAAAACGATGACAACGTGTTCACCAATGATTGGGCAGCTTTTTGATACTATGATTATAGCATCAAGTGCTCAAGAGTGGTTTTAACGAGCCATCAAAATCTAAGTGCTGGAGACTGTTTTGAGCCACCTTAGTGCACAGTTTGGTTTTGAATAAATGTAATATTGTTTGTTCTAGCTGATACACCAAGCATTAATAATAGACCGATCTTGTTTTTGTTATTTAAATACTGTATTTTTCATAATCAATACAGGTAAATTGCACGTGCATGTAATAGTTAGCTTACACTGCACAAAAATCCTTGCCATCTCTGATGCATTACCACACTCATTACTGGCTTCACACCTGTAT